GAAACACAGACATTTTGTTATATTACACTTGTGCAATGTAGTTCAGCAAAACCGTTGTGAAATTAAACAATTTTTGTTCCGTTCGATCGAAATTGAAATTTTTTGTTCAATTAGAAATTTACCTTCAAGCGATTAGTCATATTGAACTGTTGCCTGTAGCATTACCTCTTAAAGGAGATGGAAATGCATACCAATCAATTTTTTTTAAGAAAACGTATCTTTTTAACTAATAATATTGTGGGAAACAATTACTTTGCGGGTTAAATACCCCCTCTAGATTTAGATTACATCCCATTATCCAGTAAACTACTAAATCTTTCGTCAGCAACATCGATATAGATCTGTTTCGATCTATCGTCATGTAGCAATGACATTTAAAATATGATGCATACTTTGGTTATATCTCACCTACATACAGAAAAAGAAATAACTGAAGTTATCAAATTTGTAAAATATTTTCGTTACCTTCAACACACGATATTAAAGGGTATCTTATGAACAGTTAAATATCTATAAATATTATAAAAAATGCACACTTGATTGATAAAAACATTTCATCTATCACAGGATGTAAAAAGAGTTGTTCTTGTCCTTATAAAAAACGTAATATTATAAAAATATTTTCCTTAACGTTTATTAAAACGTGTAGGTATTATTTCGAAATATATTCTGAAAAATATTAACGCAAAAACATTTTGAATTAAGTCCAAGGCATCGAAGATTATCGATACTTAAATGACTCCTCCATTTTATTGATTACCTACATTTACTTTACAGCATTAAAAGGTTAAGGTAACGATGACAACATTGCGAAAAATGCAAGTGTTCTTCATTGAACGTCTTATATTATTCACAGAATCCCAGTTCTTGGTACGTTACAAAATATTACAGCATTTTAATTGCCGCTAAATGCCATATCTGTAACTTCAATGTCACTTTGTAGTAACAACGAGCACAGAAGTGATGATGATAGTACCTGCAATTTTGATTGACAGAAATTTGAATTTCGAATTCTACTTATTGCAAAATTTGAAGAAATAGGTATATGATTTTATCGGTATTAAAGTTTTTTTTCAGTCTTGCTGTTGTTAATTTACAACATTCATTACTTAAGGAGGTATATCGGGGTCCGAGGGAAGTGAGGATCGCAGGGGGGTCCTATGCTTTTCTTACGGGACTAAAACTAGCTACCAACTAGAAAAAATTAAATTCTATTAAAATTATTTGCGATAAACATTATCTATATAGCAAAGAAATCTACTCAATATGCACATAACATACATATTGAAAATTAACAACATAAAAATACCATATTTAAGTAGTTTTAGATTATATTTAATGAACGCATAAACACTAAGTAGATGTGGCAACAGCGCTAATAATCGAGTGCAGTTGTACACTCTGCGAACCTACAGACCGCGGACATCGGAGATATTGCGCGTCAAATTCGGGTAAGATGCATACGCGTTCAAAAATGTATTGTGTGTAAACTATGTAAAATATAATTATTATATATAGCAAATATATCGTATTATCCTCGCGAAGATTTGTATCCTTTATTTATAAAACAACGAGAAAATAATTATGTTAATTTAGTTCTAAAGAAATGAAATGACACTCGCGCCCATCTCTCGTCCAAGTCAAAGAAAATGTTGGATGCAATTTTAAAGGTTCTGTGATAGAAATTACATTATTACTCACTGTTCGTGTTTTTCATCTCTATTTTGGTAATGTTACAAAAATTTTGCAACTATAATTAATTTTTTAGATATAAAGTTTGCTGAGAAATATTTATATTCCTTTGTTATTCTATACAAATACTTTTATCTCAAGTATTACTAATTATATTAATCGAATAAAGAAAACTTTACGTAACCCTAAATATTGTTGGGTACGGATTACGATGTTTTTATAAACCATTAAATATAGTAAAAGGATTTATCAACTGTATTTTTTATTCCAATAAATATATCACAGCTTCCTAGCCTTTTTAATTATTTTAGTTTTTTAAAAACATTATAAAAAATAATCTGTTGTGGATAATTTATTGTTGATAACAATGTACATGGGATTTAGGAAAAATGTATATGTTTGAAATCAATTTCGTTTTTATCAAGTATTTCAAATGTATTCTCTCCTTGCCGTCAGCTGATTGCGACGTTGCCACATTAATCCTCAAGTCAGACAGAAATGCAATTATTGGTTTCTGTTTCTAATTAATACAGTTGTACTATGTTCAAAACTTACATTAGTTTTACATCAAAAATAAGATAATACTGTGTACTATCTACGGAAAAGTTTTGTTTCACAATTTCTACATTTTTTTCTCAGTTATGGGCAAAAAAGAGCCGCACCGTCTATCTTCGCCATATAAACCTATGTTAAAATGAACAACTTTCAACAACAATATCTCAAAATCTAGTTACAAAAAAAAATTTAAAAGAATATGACGCACAGAGGGAGCACTGGGTAATACGCTATATAAATTTCAAGTACATCTGTGCATTTTAGTAAACCCGGTATACCTCCTTAACTTATAGGTAGGAATATATCCAACTAAATCACGCTTGATGATAATTACACCTCTACCTTATTTATGCAGCTAAGTAAATATCAAAGGATGAGACCGAATCGATCACACAAACTATGCATATAGTATAGAAAATATAGGTCAGCTATGCATTCATATAAATTTATCACAATATCACTCGTAATGTAACATAATAGCGTTTAATACCTTATGAAAATTAAGTAATATAATGTCTACATTACTGCATTTGTCTTCTGGTTTCATAAAAAGGTTATAGACCTTTGTATCCAATTTAGCAGATAGGTTTCATTTATTTAAAAAATTTGAACGTAACACGTAAGCAATATTGTGAAAGTGGGTAATAAATGTAAATAATTTTTTTCTATTTGCTCAACTACCTTTGACATTTTCGTTGGATTTCTACTTTCGTCCATTGGATAATTTGTTTGGATTTGGCTGGAGCGTATGTGCAATACTGATATTGACATAATAAAATTTGCAAAAAAAAAATAAATATTAAATATGTGCCTAAGCACGTAAGAGTTCGTTGTCTATGCGACTATTGTAGTCTCCCACCCAAAACACATATCGACGTTATGTCAACTATTTTTTGTTAACCAAATATGTTAAACAGAATAATATTGAAGAGATTTGTATGTCTCTCGTATTTGCTTAATTCTAAGATGGATATCGAACTCGATAAAGAGTGAGGATAATAAACTGCTTTGACTCTTAGTATAAAAAGTGTTTAAGTTCTCGCGTAGGCGCATATATATTTTTTATAACGTACCTTTATTTCATTATCAATAAGATATATGGATAATGATTTAAGTGTACCTTGCAAGTAAAAAGGCAAAGTTTCATGTTACCATTTTCAATAATTTGTTGTTTAAAGACATTTTATCTACTTATGTAGCATCTTCAGGAAAAATCTAAATCTATTTTTTATTCATAGACTTCTTTGTTATCTATCTTTAAATTCGAACTATTTTAATTCATCCTATTAATTTCTCTTAGCAATAAAGAGAATAATAATATACTACTTAACCTTTTTGTTTCACATCAATTAATAATGAATTCTATTGGTAACATAATGAACGGTCTAACCTATGTAACGCCACCTTTACATAAGCAGTTTCAACTTTGGTATTATAATTCCCAGCATATTTATATATTATTAATTAGAAACCTATTACCTGCTTGTTATTTTACATTTATTACACAACAATGTTATTTATTGTTAAATATTTAATTCTACATATGAGAAACGTATCGGTTAAAATTTATTTGAAAGTTTAGCAAAGCGGATTATTTCGGAACTATACTAGTAGGTATAAAATTCAAATTTGAATTTCAATCGTGTGTTGTTAATAATAAAAATTATGCAACCCGTTAATTTATGCATATTGTGACATAATTCGTACAGCTTTAACCTTATATGTAAAAATTTCGCTTAGAATATGTTAATCATGAGATTTCAGGATTATTGAATAAAAATAAAGTAGTCACATGAGTTCACTACATATTTGTAATAAATTAAGGTCTTGAAGTTTTACCTTGCGGAAACGTTACGTTTTATTTTAATACTTAAGATAAAAGATAAATTGTGTAGCTTTTATATTAACTAAATACTCTGTCCACGTTTATTAAAATTAAGGCAAGCCTAATAATCACCAAAACTAACTTTCAAGGATAAAAACGAAAAAAATCAATCAAAAGCACTAACACCAAGTCGACAAAACAGGTTATTACTTTCAAATTACACGCAAGCTTTTACTTTTAGTTACCGACAAGGTTTACACGCTGTAGTTCTAACAATATTTAAGTAGTCCTAAAAACGGGACAACCCAATATCATTGTCGATTACCGAGGAAGCAAATTAATAAACAACAAAAAAATAATCGAATCTTCGTAATTATGCGAAAGAGAGAGAATCACGTTTCATAGAAAATCGGAAACGCAGACCGCTTTTACCTAATAATTGCTTCCGAATATTTAAATTATAGAAAGTTACTGGAATTGCCAATCTCATATAAAAACAATCGAACGTATGAATATCTGAATGGGTAAGTCCAGTTCGATTGTAACAATATGAAAGCTGGGAAAATATTTAAGCTCATGTTATAGTTCAAAATAACTACCAAGAGAGAAATCAATACGATTCCAGTGAAGCAATGTATTGTGACAAATGGGATTCGCTAATTTTTGGATTTGGCTAATGATTACACAAGGAAATGTGAGAGCTTTCTTTATTTGTTGCTTTTGTGATTTTTCTTTGTCTTATTTTCCAAATTTTCGCTAAAGTCCTTGTCATATGGAAGCATTTTTTTGGACACGACAATTTATGGTTTCTATCTCACTTACTCTATTTTTTTTTTCGAAATGCGCAAGGACAAAGCGCTTTCCTTTCTCTACCCGAAAGCGAGCGTTCAATATGGAAGGCAAAAAGACAAAAATCTGGTCCACTTACATGATGAATCCGTTCGCCATAGTAGAGCCTTGCGAGGAAATCGTCTGGAAATTATATAACTGCGGGCCTGGCAGCAGAAGAAGAAAGAAGTGAGCGAGGGCGGCAGTATCGCCGCTGAGAGCCGCACTGGGAACAACACTGTGTCACTGTGGAAGTCTCACCTTACACTCAATCACAACGCCACATGTCCGAGACTGCACAATCGGTAACTTCGCGGGGCAACTTTCGCTGTCTGCGGCCGAGAGTAGTCGGCCTACCACCGTCCGCCCGCCTTTTATATGTCAACTCTTACCCCGTGTCTTGGCCGCAGCGTTTTGCAAAACCGCGTGTTTTTTTTTTTGTGAGTCGGTTCGTGGATGATTTTGTAGTTTTGGGAAATATTCTGGGAACGCGGGACTGTCGGTGCTGGAGGACCGGCTGGTGCTGTGCACTTTCCGATTTGTTGTAGGGATACTGGCTGAGGCGGTGGCAATTTACTCAGTAACCTCCCTCCCCTTGGAGTTAAGAAAGTAAAAAGGGACTAGGTAGAATGTTTTGATTTGCTTCAGATGACAGTTCGTGATTTATTTTTTTTTCCGGCAGTTACAATCACCATCGTTTAGGGACTGGGAATAAATTCACTGTGTCCATTGATCAATTTGAACCACTTTAGTAGTTGCTTGAATCGAATTATGGAAACATGTAATACGAAGAAAGAATACTCAAAAACAATGTGTTCTTCGTATTTGCCCGAAAGTGTTCTCTATTTTATCTAATGAAAAGGAAATTCAAACCGGTTTGGAATCCCAAGCTTGAAAAACACCACAACAACTTTGGATAAAAAAACATTATTCTTGACCAAAATCCACATGATCTTCGTTGAGGTCTTCATATTTATTACTAGATCCTGTTTTGCTTCAGAACTCTAGTACTTCACTATCTCACTTGCTGCAAGTTAAATTCTGATTTTCTGCCTAAAAGAGAGAAGAATAGAAATGGCCTGACTACAAACTTAATGAAATTTTACAATTTTTGCTGTTACAAAAAGCTGTCTGCTTTTGTAGCTTAATCAGAGTTACGTTTAATTGATATCAATTGATCAGTACTTGGCGGATAATTAAAATTTCACGTATTTATCTTCTCAATATGAACATTAGTTGGACAATTTATGAACTGACTGTAATGTCATTTTAGACTTCTTGAGGTTTCGAGAGACTTATCTCTCTCTTTTCTAAAACTGGATATTAAATCCTCTGGTTGATATTTATATCCGCTGCGTCGTTCTGCTCTTTGATTTTTGCAGATGAGTCGTATCCAAATTCTATTTTCTCTAAGAACAGATCGAATGACTAAACATTATGGCTAGTAGTTGGTACTTTGATTCTATAAACTAATGTGTTGACAATATCTTGTTTCTGGGCTGAGTGATGATAAGACTAAATTCAGATAGATATCTGTGTGAGTGGGTTTTCCCTAAACTGTGCCCAGTTTCTTAAATTACCATTACCTGATATGCGGATGTATTCCTTCGTTATGGTTCAGGAATACTTCTGTGTTGTCATGAATGTATCATCAGCATATCTGAACCAACACTGATTTTAGACTTGATGACTCCATTGTAGATAATTGCTAAAGCTAGGGACTAGAGTGAACCCATAGTAGCTTCTTAAGTTTGTTGATAAAATTGCTCCAATATGTTGCTCTCTACTGATTGTAGATTGTAAATGTGGATTCACCATTTCCACCATAAATTAAGAATTTCCTGGTATGTTTCTTTGCCTATGGGATGTACCATAATTTTTGCTCGGTATCTTTCACATATTCGTAGATGAGTGACCTAATAACGCAGCTAAGAGTTTCAGATGCATATTCGACTTTTTTAGATTAGTTTCGTCTGGCTAACTCATCAGTTTTTCCATTGTATCAACGTCCCTCGTGTTCTAGTAGTCTTAACAAAGCACACACACAATTCAATACCAAACAGATTTGGTCTGGTACAAACTCATCGTCTTTAAAGCTGCTTGATTACTGGAGTAATTAAAATTTCGTTTGTTTTTAATGTTCCTCCTTCTAATTTATGGAATAAGGTTCTTCTAAATATAGCAAAGGTTTAAAAGAGCTAAAAATTTGTTTGTATAGTACCTAGATACTGTTCTTTTATTATTATTCCTCGCAATAATAAGTGTTTGTACCACATTGTTGTAAGATAGTCTAGAGTCGATACTAATCTACAGTACATTTGACATTTCAGGTAGATATTTATTTTGAAATCATTGAAGGAAAATTAAATAAATAGTCAGTTGCTTAAGCATTGTATTAAAACAAAAAGAAGGGGCCCAAAATAAGCACCCTGAGGCAATTCAGATACATTCAACATCATATTCAATGAACTCTCAAGCAAATAATAAATGTATAGAAAGGTATTCTACAACTAAAGCTATTTCAACCTTCATACCTCGCAAAGCTCGTATTTTCGTTTAAAATTTCAATGAATTCAAGGTTCGATGTCAACGTAGGTAACTTATACAGTATATAATTTGAATGATCATCAAGGTGTCGTACATTACTTACCTGGGAGTAGGTAAATTAAACAAAAAATAAATTTGATTATTCCATGATAAAAAACAAATCTGCTTTTATTTGTAAAATTACTTTTAAAAGTTTTAAACCCAGATTTACGATAGCCAACAAACTATTTAAAATTTTGATTTTTCTTTTGTATTACTTATTCTTTAAATAATTGGATCGACTGATGATTATGCTGCGTTTAAAATCAGCCCTTTTCCTTTGTTCCATTTAGATTAAGACCTACAAATATTTTGTCAATTTTGTTCTGTGTTAAAATAAAAATACATTGTAATTATTTTTTCTATATGTGTATTGTGTAGTACTATAAACTTTTGCATTTATATTTATTTTACCTTGTAACCAAATACATATTTAATGTTCTTATTCTGAATATACTGGTCTACGCAATGTTATCCTTAAAAGAAAAGTAAATTGTATCAGAATAACACACTTGAAACTAACTCGGGACCTACCAACTTTTTATCGATTCTGTTCTACTAAGAAGATTGATTTGTAAAAGTGAATGTACCAAATCGTTGAACTGCCAATGTTACTTAGATAATTAAAGAGTCGTTATTAATTCGCAACAGTTATTAATTTTCCACGGCCTGTTATCGAAAAGTAAACGTTTTGTTTTCTTCGGGAAAAAGTACGCAAATATGTAGATTAGCGAACTGTGTTGATGTGATTAGAATGAATATGTTAACTGGCCAAACGTATATTTAGCAAAAAACTTGGAATATTTCGTCAATTGAGGGAAATTTCTTTTGAGTGCCTTCTGAATATGATATATATGACATATTAGGGAAATCTAAGAATAGTAAAAATAACAGATAGTTGTGAACTTTTAGTTATATCGAAGATATAACAAGGATAATACAAAAAAACAAGGAAGGAAAAAATTTGGAAAATCAAGATAAGAAGATAAAAAATTAAAGTAATACAAAAATGTACACAAACAAGCAGAGAAAAATAACGTCCTATATGCCATTGTATATTCCAGTGAACAACCTAAGTAGATCATATACACATTAACATGTGATAAAAATCATCTGAATGGGGTAAAATATATTAGTGTCAATCAAAAGGAACACGCATATAATTAAGAGTAATTTTTTAAACAGAAAATAAAGTGTCAACACATATACAGACTGTTACAAATTCGCTTCTAACTACAGGGATCTCTAAAACGGTAAGAGATACAAACTAGCTTAAGTGGGGGCAAAGTTGCGTAATCAGGGGACTAACATTACGCCTCTAAAAAATCAAAGCTAACATAATTAGTTTTCGAAATATTTGAAAAAAAACGAAATTTTTGAAATCCGTTTTTATTTCATTTCAGCCTTGTTTGAGGTGATAGGTATTGAAAAAAGAAGAACACTTTCTCTTGGCCACTTTTTGCTTTCTATAATTTTCTTCAGGTGATTTTGATAGTGGAAGGTTATGTTTTTTTTGTGTTCCGAAAAGCAAGTGAAAACTTCCGGAACAAAGAAAGATATAAAGAATTTTCGAAACGCTTTCATCTGTAAAAATTTCGATAAAATGTCGATTATCTTTGAAAACGGTTAAATTAAGATACATGGAAGCTTTAACGTGTTTGACTTGTTTTTAATTTATCTTGTCTATAATGGAATAATATACAATATTTCCGTTTAAAATAAGCAAGTGATTTCTAGTATAACCGGAAGTGCTACAACAATGGAACAATGGCATTATTTTATTTAAAGAGTAAACCCCCAGGGCCCAAATTTTCAAAATTTAAATCGCAGTAGTCTGAAATATTCTAATGGTCCGTCACCGTAAGACAGCCTCTATAATAAAGCTGTTTTAACATTTTAGCATTTTTGGGAAAAATGTTTTTTATACTCGTCAGTGTGGAATCACTTTTAGTGAAATTTGAAGCTTATTTTTTTACTGAATATGAAATTATAACCTATTAATAGTTGGATTCAATTAATATTGAGAAATTATAAATTGAAAATTGATCGTTGCCTGTATCCAACTAATATACACACAATTATGTAACACCCATTGTAATTAATTTACAAACAGAATCTTCTTCAGTTTGTTTAAAATTAATTCTGACATTTGAATATTAAGGCATGAAATATCAAGGATGCGCGTTATGAAAGTTATAATTTATTTACAGAGAAGAGCACTAACGCTTGAAAATAACGTTGCCTATGTAAAATTTAATAAAATCCGAAATTGCCCAACGTGTTCTTGAACGGTGGTGTGAAGGTGCGTTTAATTTGGAATGATTCGCCTCTGACATTGAAATTTTTGTATTAATACCTACATCTAAAGCAACTTTCTAACGAGTTTAAAACCAGTATCTTCACCGATGAGCTTTTTTTTTTTTTGGTGGAGCTGGTATTTGTAGGAAACCGCAAGTCGATTTTATTTTATTGGCCGTTCAATAAAAATGAGAATCATCATCTGGGGAACGCATAAAATAGTAATTATGTGACTGTTCAAAAAGTAGCGATAAATGAAATGAAACAGACGTCTAAAGTCAATAGTTAGTGAAGCATACTGGATATCATTACGTCGAAAAAGGATATATTGTAAGTTCGTTTTTTCCGCCACGTAAATTTCAAGGAATGATGCAAGACTTTGCTCTCTTTGACCAAAACAGACTAAATGCGAAAAACGATTTGATGACTTGAGTGTTTTACTATATTACACCATTATGTACCATTCTAAAA